CAAACTATTCATGGTTGAAGGAATACTACCCTGAAAGTTGTTGTTGCTTATGTCTAGTGCTTCAAGTTTCACACAAGTACCTATAGTGGTAGGAATCTGGCCCTGCAACTTGTTATCAGACAGGTTTAAGTAGCCTAGATTTCTCAACTTCCCAATTTCCATCGAAAGGAAACCAGTTAAGTGGTTCTGAGATAGGTCCATGCCCTCCGACAAGGATGAGAGTTCAAGAATTTCTGATGGTATGAAACCACTAAGGTTATTTGAACCAAGATCCAACAGTTCCAAATTGTGGCATTTGCCTAAACTGGAAGGAATTCTCCCCTGGATATTGTTTTCTCTTAAACTGAGTTTGGCTAAATAAGCTAAATTTCCCAATGAGATTGGAATTTGGCCAGAGAACTGATTTCCAAGTAAAGCCAGCTCTTGCAAATATATCAGATCACCAATTTCAGACGGAATTTCACCGTGAAATCTGTTGTAAGCTACAAAGAAAGCCTGAAGCTTCTTGAGATTGGATATCCCTCTTGGGATTTTTCCAGAAATCTGATTATAAGACAACGAAAGCTCTATAAGCTCAGTCGAAAGATTACTAACAGATGCAGGTAAGACTCCACCAAAATTATTTGTATTGAGCTCCAAAAGCTCCAAGCTGGTGGCATTCACCAATGTGGTGAGAAAGCTAAGGTCATCATCCTCCCCCTTCCCAAGATAATTGAAAGCAACTAAAAATCTCCGCATTTTCAGCAAATTTCCAAGGGGTGGTACTTTTCCTGTGAGTCCATTTCTACTAGCAATAAGAGACTGAAGATTCGTAGCATTTGACAATGTTACCGGAATATTTCCAGTTACATTGTTTCTATAAATGCTAAGGAACTCTAAACTAGGAAGAGTAATACCAAGCAATGGAGGCAATTTTCCTTCTAAATGGTTTGTTCCAACATCTATGGCCACGATAGAGGAAAGATTGAAAAGACAAGGAGGCAGGGTACCACTCAAGTTGTTCTCATTCACTACAAAGTACTTTAAGTTGAGCAATTGACATAATTCATCAGGTATTTTCCCTAACAAATTATTCTTGCTTGCGGAAAAGGTATCAAGTAAAGAAAGATTACCAAATGAAGGCGGAATTCCTCCTGTAAAATAGTTAGAAACAAGAGAAAGTTGTTTGAGTTTCAACAATGTGCCTAATTCTGCTGGAATTTTGCCCACCATCATATTATATGAAAGAACAACAGAAACAAGATTGAAGCATCCTGAAATGTTTGATGGAATATGACCAGTGAACGAGTTATTATCAAGGAGTAAAAACTTTAACTTATGTAAGTAGCCAATCTCTGATGGAATTTCACCTGAAAAACTATTATTTTGGAGCTTAAGGACACAAAGAAAGCTCAGATTACCAATGCTTGGTGACAGAGAACCCCTCAATTTCAGAGAAGTAAGATTTAAAACTGTAACTCGGGGATGACGTCGACCACATGAAACCCCAGGCCAGTCACAAAAATGTATAGTTTCATTCCAGGAGTCCATGATCTTGAAAGGGTCATCAATGATCATATTCTTGAATGCTAGTAGTGACATTCTGTCTGTTTCATTCCCTCCCAACTGAACTTTTGATGAGCAAAGAACATAGGGTAGTAGCAAAGAGAAAAAGGTCAGTAAAGATAGTACAACAGTATACTTCTTCATAGCATAAAAGTAAGAATTCTGTGTATGAGTTGGGAGAATCATTTAAGAAAGTAAGAAGGTTGGTAGCAAAAGACACAGGTCTAATACTATTAAATTTATTCTCCAATTTTAATTGTTTGTATGATTTTTCATGATATTGACAAGTTGGGTATTTTAAGGTAGACAAGAAAATATAGAAAGGGACATAAAGATTCACCTGTACAATAAAATTGGACACAAATTTAGACCAGTAGGCTCTTTATAACTAAGTATAATGATAATGTATTATCCAGTTAGTTACTTTTTTTATTACAAATAAAAATAAAATTCTCCCATCAAATATGAATACTAGATTGGGGTTTTACAAAGCCCCTTATCGGATTTGAACCGATGACTTACGCCTTAGACTTTCCACCTTGCTTTGGACTTGAATGGATCTACTTCTCCTCTGCCAGATCGATCTTCATTAAGAGGGTCAACCCAAGCTATTGCTCTACCTCCTCTCCTTATGTTATGGTAGATTTGGAATCCCTATTGGATTTCTTACTCCAGAAAAAACAGACTAATCAACAATAATGTGCTGAGTTATGACTTGCTGGTAAATTTTTGGATTTTAAAGTTTGTTTTTTTCTCTAACCTCTGCCAGACTGTTCTCATAAATTCCCTATAGCATACTATTATTGTCCCATTCTTTGACGTTAAAGTGAAAAATGTATAGTATTTCAAGAAGTGATTTTTTTATTTATTTTCTGAGGGACATTAATTGTTTAAGTCTTCTTTTTGTCTACGTAGTAAAGTTATTCTTATTTAGTTAGGTAAGATGTGTAATATTAGTCCAATGTTCGTAGCAACATGTGGAAAATCTTGTAGTATAATTTATTGAGAGATGTCGGAACAATTGATCAATTATGAAGGCAGCTCATTGCGGTTTGTTCTTCTACATGACTCGAAGAGTTTGCATAATTTGTGGCCAATCAACTCCTATATATTGAATTGTCCTCTTCAGGTAAACTTCCTGGAAATTAGGTTTCCAGATTTTTTTTTTTTTTTTTTTGTAAAAGGGTTAGGTTAAATTAAAAGTTTGATAACAAAGACCCGATTAGGACAAATAAGGAAAATGAGAAAAAGGGACTGGGAATTCAATGGAGATGCTCAAAATGGATTCTATGAGATTAAAGTTTGGTCAAATTTTTTCTATTTAAATAAAATTTATCCCAAAGTTTGGCGAAATAAAAACGAAAGAGATTCATCAATTAGCATATCAACAGTTTGAGCCCAAAAAAAAAGTCTTATTTTGAATAGCTCAAAGACAATACTTTCTCCGTTCCTAATTATTTGTCCGTTTTTTTTAAATTATCCTTAAATACTTGTTCATTTTGACAAATCAAGAAAGAATAATTTATTTTACCTATTATACCCTTATTTAAATACTTTGAAAGTAGAACTTCTTGAAAATCTTAAGTTTTTAATTCATCCACTTCATAATTAATAGGGGTAAAATGGTAAATTTCACTATATCAATAATTGTTTTCTTAATTGGTGTGTCAATTCAAAAGTAGACAAGTAATTGGGGACATAGGGAGTATTAATTTATTTTTGTTTTGGAGCAACCGTAAGTAGGGGTGTTCACGGTTTGGATAAAAACCAATTCAAACCGAAAAACCGAACCAAACTGATAAAATAAAACCGATTTTATTTGGGTTTGGTTTGGTTTTAGATTTTTGAAAACCGATAGTATTTGGTTTGGTTATGGTTTTATTCGAAAAAATAGAAGAAATAACCGAACCAACGAATTATATACATATATTTAATTAATATACATACTTAATATATTATTTTTATAAACAATTTTAAAGATCTTATACATATTTTCATTAAAATTTCTTTATAATTTACTTATTGAAAGCAAAAAATGCCCAAGATGAAACATTTATCTTATTGATTTCATGTATATGAGTGTCTGTCAATTCTTTGTGGGACTGAAAATGTTATTGTCTCTTCCTTCTAGGCCAATATAGTGAATTTTAAAGCTTTATTGATAGTAAATTTAGTGATTGAAAATTTAGTAATTTAAGTCATTCTAACTATTTTTCGTTTTGAATGAATTGTTGTCACTTTTTTCACATTTTAAATGAATTGTTTCTTTTATTTTTGTGTATGGTTAATAACCGAACCAACCAAACCGAAACCCGTAAGTAACAAGATATGTTTGAACTCTTTTGCTAGTTGGAGAGCATATTTGATCCAAAAACCTAACAACGAAAGCATTTTTGAGCAAAAAAAGTAATGGAGAGTAAAAGTGACTCGTTTTGAATAGTCCTAAAGGTATATTACAGTGCAATTAAATTAGAGTATCATTGCAATTTTAAAAGTTCGTAAGTGAGAAATTCCTCTTATCACTCCATTCTTCTTATGGTGTTTTGTCTTTGTAGGGCTAATTATTAGGCAAGTACAATCAACGACTTGAGCAAATGATAAATCAAATGGTCGACAAGTCTTCAATGTGAACTCTTCGACCATTTTCCCTTCTAGAACAACTTCGGAATTTCACGATGGTTTAAATTAAATGTTTTCTTCTTTTTTTCTCATATATTTATTAAATAGCATATGAGAAAAACCATCAACAATAAAGAGCATAAAATGATTGAATTTTCCTTAACATGAGTGGTTGTGTTGTTCTATTGGAACTACACTAGTTGATAATTCATCAAAGCACTATTTGATTTGCTAATGGTATAATTTATCTCTAATGTATTTGAGCTTTAGACATCGCGGTTGAAATCTACTATCTTTGTTCAGCATCCATGTCAAAACAAGTTCACTGCATCTGGTAATTCCATTGCATCTCACTGCCTAACATGACCTGAAGGAACAACAGATAGACATTTCGACCTATGAATTATCTGTTAGAAAAGTAGATTAAATGTTCTAAGAAAGCAAAATGTCATATATGTCACATTTCACATCACAAGATGTTTAGACATACTAATCTCATATATGTCACATTTCTCATGAACAAAAACGAGGCATTGGCATTAACAGGACTAATAATACAATGATTCAAAATACAGCTAGACAGTGCATCAATCTTTACATAGTCAGGTGAATCAAATCAGTCAGTTCTTCCAGGGAAACAATCATATTCAGGTTTCAGAACTCTCAAACTGGCACCGATCCAAAACATAGAAAGCATCATGCAGCATGAAAGCCAATCATCACCTCCCACGCACAATGGCAGGTGATCGAGCACCTTTATCACTGCTAATGTCTTCATCAATTTCACTTCCATCAACCCACACAACGTTGCTGCTTACACTCACCTCAGAACTAGTATTACTGCTCGTGGCAAGTGGGGAGTCAGGCACGCTAATTGACCTGCTTGTCCTGCCTCTAGTAGGCGGCCCTGATCTCACACTGTACATAGAGGATGCTGGAATATTAGTCATCAAGGGACGCAAATTAACCGAGACTCTCTGCCTTATATCCTGTCCAAGAACAATGTCTCAAAGTTAAGCAAATCCAAAAAGGATAAGAGAACAAGAAGGCCAACAAGACAGATCATCTAAGACTTAGAGCTATAAAAAAAACAACACAAATATTGCTACTCTAATCAGTTTTTGAAAATATACTTATGTCTTCAGTCTATGGTAGAGCACAATATTCTATTAGCATAGGAATGTGAAAAGAATGTATATACCATATGTCTAATAGCCATATCCAAGGATTTCTTTGATAATGATCTTCCAAAACCTGAGCTATCAGGTGACGAAGACTTTGCAGATCAAGTTACTGCGTGGAGAATGTTTGTCATCTTGTTTTTGGAGGAATCAGCTTCTGCATATTTATTACCCTTTCAACCATTTTGGTCCCAACCATGCCAGGGCTTACATTGTCCTTGGCTTTAGCATGAAGTCGGCTCATGGATGGTACAGGAACAGAGCTTCCACTGCTATGCATAACACCATTAGGAGGATGTCCTCTTGCTGGAGAGCATGACTGTCGTCTAACCCTTCCATTTGAAGCTGGCTCAACAGATGAAGACCTGACACTAGCTGCTCCAGGTCTGCCCCTTGTAGCTGAAATTGGCCTGTCAGGTAGTGATGTCCTTAAATTGGGTGGAGCATCAAGGGAGAACCCTGGTATATCTGAAGGCTTCCATGGTCTGGGTTTTACAGTTGGAGAACTAGCACGTGAGGCTGCAGGGTTTCGTGATGCCATTGTAGCTGACCTGGTACCCAAAGGGGAATACACAGATTTAACTGGAGGAACAGTTGTATTTGTTGTACTTGACACTGAAGTTGCTCGACGAGTTGGAGTTGCTGCCCTTGATGTGGACTTTGATCCAGTAACTGAGGCCCTGCTTGTTGGTGTTGAGGACCGTGCACTGGATCTTGCAGTAGGTGTTGAAGATCTTGGAGGAACAGTGGGTTTTGCAGAAGGCATGGTGGCCCGAGAAGTAGGTGTTGCAGACCTTGATGATCTAGATGCTGTCGTGGTTGACATTAATCTAGAGGTTGCAGAGGATGCCATTGCTTTGGTTGCTGCAGCAGATGTGGATCTAGATGCTGAGGTCGAGGTGGATCTAGATGAGCTCAATGTCGGTCTACCAGTAGGAGTTGAAGGTCTTGATCCACCTGAAGAAGATGGTCTTCGAAGACTAGAACTTGAAGTGTTTTAATCCAGGAGAGGAAGCTAGCTGTCTAGATGCTAAGTTGCTTCTTGAGGTGGCCTCTGGGAGAGAATTTGTTAACTGCATCAAAGTTAGCAAATTACAGATAAAAATATATCAAAACTGTGATACACACTTCAGGTTAAGATTGCCAGGCAGAAAGCTTCACTATTTGCACTTCACATATTTATCTACTCACAGTAATAGGCAAAGTTCTGCATTGTCTTCAAGTAAATTGGTGTCTAGACATATTTAACTATGCTTTCTCTAATCTTTCTTTAGTGTACTTGCAAACAACAACATACCCAATATAGTCCCACGAGTGGGGTTTGGGAAGGGTGGGGTGTACGCAGACCTTACCCTTAATTCTGACGGGTAGAGAGGTTCAAAAGACCCTCTGATCAAGAAAATCGATTTTCAGAACATGGTTTGAAAGAAATGCATGAGTAAAAAGCTATTATGAGAATATTGAAAAAAAGAAAAATATTTGACAATAAAAATATTAGAGATAACCAAAGTAAAAGAAACAACAATAGAAATAAAATAGAAGAACAAGGTAATGCTAGCAAAATAATACTCCCTTTGTCCCAATTTATGTGACATACTTTACTTTTTAATGTGTCCTCAAAAGAATATCACTTTTCTATAATTAGAAATAACTTTAAAATTTCCCTTTTACCCCTAACGAATTGATTTACCGTCACACAAATATCTAAGGTTTGTTTTAAACCACAAGTTTCAAAAGTCTTCCTGATTTTCTTAAACTGTGTCAAATTGGGACGGTGGGATAATACTGCCAGACTAGAACCCTGATCTACCACGAGAAAGAGAGAAAATGCTCAACTACCTACTAACCGTCTACCCTGATCCTCGACCTCCATGATCTCCTGTTTAAATTCATGTCCTTATTTAGTTGAAGATGTTTCATCTATTGTAATCACATCTCCCCAATTCTTCCTCGATCTACCTCTACCTTCCTCAAACCTATCATTGTCAACCTCTCGCACCTCGTCACTAGGGCATTTGTGTTCCTCCTCTTCGAATGCTCGAACAATCTTGGCCTTGTTTCCCGCATCTTGTCCACCATTGAAGCTACTCCCACCAGGCCTCATATATCTTCGTTTCTAATCTTGCCTCTTCTAATGTGCCCACACATCCATTTAAGCATCCTCATTTATGTTACCTTCAACTTCTGAGGATGCGAGTTCTTGACTGACCAACACTCCGACCAATACAACATAGTTGGTTTAACAACCGCTCCATGGGACTTACCTTTCTTAATCTTTCTTTTACTTAGTTCAATGTAAATTATGGGTTTCAAATAAAAGCAAGCTACAAGTTGGTGTTTTTCGTCGTATGAACTTTTAAATTGTGAACTTTGTCTATTAATGTTTTTCCTCATTGTTTCCTT